ATTAAGTACTGAATTTATTCATTCAATAATGATTAAGTACTGAATTTATTCATTCAATAATGATTAAGTACTGAATTTATTCATTCAATAATGATTAAGTACTGAATTTATTCATTCAATAATGATTAAGTACTGAATTTATTCATTCAATAATGATTAAGTACTGAATTTATTCATTCAATAATGATTAAGTACTGAATTTATTCATTCAATAATGATTAAGTACTGAATTTATTCATTCAATAATGATTCAATTTATTCATTCAATAATGATTAAGTACTGAATTTATTCATTCAATAATGATTAAGTACTGAATTTATTCATTCAATAATGATTAAGTACTGAATTTATTCATTCAATAATGATTAAGTACTGAATTTATTCATTCAATAATGATTAAGTACTGAATTTATTCATTCAATAATGATTAAGTACTGAATTTATTCATTCAATAATGATTAAGTACTGAATTTATTCATTCAATAATGATTAAGTACTGAATTTATTCATTCAATAATGATTAATTTACTGAATTTATTCATTCAATAATGATTAAGTACTGAATTTATTCATTCAATAATGATTAAGTACTGAATTTATTCATTCAATAATGATTAAGTACTGAATTTATTCATTCAATAATGATTAAATAATGAATTTATTCATTCAATAATGATTAAGTACTGAATTTATTCATTCAATAATGATTAAGTACTGAATTTATTCATTCAATAATGATTAAGTACTGAATTTATTCATTCAATAATGATTAAGTACTGATTTATTCATTCAATTGATTAAATTACTGAATTTATTCATTCAATAATGATTAAGTACTGAATTTATTCATTCAATAATGATTAAGTACTGAATTTATTCATTCAATAATGATTAAGTACTGAATTTATTCATTCAATAATGATTAAGTACTGAATTTATTCATTCAATAATGATTAAGTACTGAATTTATTCATTCAATAATGATTAAGTACTGAATTTATTCATTCAATAATGATTAAGTACTGAATTTATTCATTCAATAATGATTAAGTACTGAATTTATTCATTCAATAATGATTAAGTACTGAATTTATTCATTCAATAATGACTGAATTTATTCATTCAATAATGATTTTGAATTTATTCATTCAATAATGATTAAGTACTGAATTTATTCATTCAATAATGATTAAGTACTGAATTTATTCATTCAATAATGATTAAGTACTGAATTTATTCATTCAATAATGATTAAGTACTGAATTTATTCATTCAATAATGATTAAGTACTGAATTTATTCATTCAATAATGATTAAGTACTGAATTTATTCATTCAATAATGATTAAGTACTGAATTTATTCATTCAATAATGATTTACTGAATTTATTTATTTCAATAATGATTAAGTACTGAATTTATTCATTCAATAATGATTAAGTACTGAATTTATTCATTCAATAATGATTAAGTACTGAATTTATTCATTCAATAATGATTAAGTACTGAATTTATTCATTCAATAATGATTAAGTACTGAATTTATTCATTCAATAATGATTAAGTACTGAATTTATTCATTCAATAATGATTAAGTACTGAATTTATTCATTCAATAATGATTAAGTACTGAATTTATTCATTCAATAATGATTAAGTACTGAATTTATTCATTCAATAATGATTAAGTACTGAATTTATTCATTCAATAATGATTAAGTACTGAATTTATTCATTCAATAATGATTAAGTACTGAATTTATTCATTCAATAATGATTAAGTACTGAATTTATTCATTCAATAATGATTAAGTACTGAATTTATTCATTCAATAATGATTAAGTACTGAATTTATTCATTCAATAATGATTAAGTACTGAATTTATTCATTCAATAATGATTAAGTACTGAATTTATTCATTCAATAATGATTAAGTACTGAATTTATTCATTCAATAATGATTAAGTACTGAATTTATTCATTCAATAATGATTAAGTACTGAATTTATTCATTCAATAATGATTAAGTACTGAATTTATTCATTCAATAATGATTAAGTACTGAATTTATTCATTCAATAATGATTAAGTACTGAATTTATTCATTCAATAATGATTAAGTACTGAATTTATTCATTCAATAATGATTAAGTACTGAATTTATTCATTCAATATTTAATTCAATAAATACTGAATTTATTCATTCAATAATGATTAAGTACTGAATTTATTCATTCAATAATGATTAAGTACTGAATTTATTCATTCAATAATGATTAAGTACTGAATTTATTCATTCAATCATTTCAATTTAATTCAATAATGATTAAGTACTGAATTTATTCATTCAATAATGATTAAGTACTGAATTTATTCATTCAATAATGATTAAGTACTGAATTTATTCATTCAATAATGATTAAGTACTGAATTTATTCATTCAATAATGATTAAGTACTGAATTTATTCATTCAATAATGATTAAGTACTGAATTTATTCATTCAATAATGATTAAGTACTGAATTTATTCATTCAATAATGATTAAGTACTGAATTTATTCATTCAATAATGATTAAGTACTGAATTTATTGAATTTATTCATTTTCAATAATGATTAAGTACTGAATTTATTCATTCAATAATGATTACTGAATTTATTCATTCAATAATGATTAAGTACTGAATTTATTCATTCAATAATGATTAAGTACTGAATTTATTCATTAATAATGATTAAGTACTGATTTTATTCATTCAATAATGATTAAGTACTGAATTTATTCATTCAATAATGATTAAGTACTGAATTTATTCATTCAATAATGATTAAGTACTGAATTTATTCATTCAATAATGATTAAGTACTGAATTTATTCATTCAATAATGATTAAGTACTGAATTTATTCATTCAATAATGATTAAGTACTGAATTTATTCATTCAATAATGATTAAGTACTGAATTTATTCATTCAATAATGATTACTGAATTTATTCATTCAATAATGATTTATGAATTTATTCATTCAATAATGATTACTACTGAATTTATTCATTCAATAATGATTAAGTACTGAATTTATTCATTCAATAATGATTAAGTACTGAATTTTATTCATTCAATAATGATTATTTAGTACTGAATTTACTGAATTTTCATTCAATAATGATTAAGTACTGAATTTATTCATTCAATAATGATTAAGTACTGAATTTATTCATTCAATAATGATTAAGTACTGAATTATTCATTCAATAATGATTAAGTACTGAATTTATTCATTCAATAATGATTAAGTACTGAATTTATTCATTCAATAATGATTAAGTACTGAATTTATTCATTCAATAATGATTAAGTACTGAATTTATTCATTCAATAATGATTAAGTACTGAATTTATTCATTCAATAATGATTAAGTACTGAATTTATTCATTCAATAATGATTAAGTACTGAATTTATTCATTCAATAATGATTAAGTACTGAATTTATTCATTCAATAATGATTAAGTACTGAATTTATTCATTCAATAATGATTAAGTACTGAATTTATTCATTCAATAATGATTAAGTTGAATTTATTCATTTAATTAATTCTGAATTTATTCATTCAATACTGAATGAATTTATTCATTCAATAATGATTAAGTACTGAATTTATTCATTCAATAATGATTAAGTACTGAATTTATTCATTCAATAATGATTAAGTACTGAATTTATTCATTCAATAATGATTAAGTACTGAATTTATTCATTCAATAATGATTAAGTACTGAATTTATTCATTCAATAATGATTAAGTACTGAATTTATTCATTCAATAATGATTAAGTACTGAATTTATTCATTCAATAATGATTAAGTACTGAATTTATTCATTCAATAATGATTAAGTACTGAATTTATTCATTCAATAATGATTAAGTACTGAATTTATTCATTCAATAATGATTAAGTACTGAATTTATTCATTCAATAATGATTAAGTACTGAATTTATTATTCAATAATGATTAAGTACTGAATTTATTCATTCAATAATGATTAAGTACTGAATTTATTCATTCAATAATGATTAAGTACTGAATTTATTCATTCAATAATGATTAAGTACTGAATTTATTCATTCAATAATGATTAAGTACTGAATTTATTCATTCAATAATGATTAAGTACTGAATTTATTCATTCAATAATGATTAAGTACTGAATTTATTCATTCAATAATGATTAAGTACTGAATTTATTCATTCAATTATTCATTCAATTCATGATTTAGTACTGAATTTATTCATTCAATAATGATTAAGTACTGAATTTATTCATTCAATAATTAATAGCTCATTATCTATCATTCAATAATATAGATAATTCCTCTGATAATATGATAATAATAAACGAAAATGTCATCTTCCTTTTAATAATAGTTGTTCCTCTTTCATTAGATTCACTAAGGTTTTCTATCATGGAATAATAATACAGTGGTCAATTTCTCTTTTAATACAGATCATTATATATTTCGATTTTCTAATTTTGTAATTCATCGAAATATTCTTTAATAGGATAATATTAATAAAACTGATTATCTATTTTTGAAAAATGAAATTATCTCTTTTCATAGATTTTCTATGCGAGTAGAATTATCTATCATTCAATAATAATACAGTGGTCCGATTATTATTTTAATTTTGTGGTCGATTATCTGTCATTCAATAATAATGCTGTCGATTATCTCTTTTTAATACAATATTAATAATTCTGGAATCTATCATTCAACAATAATAATTGGTCCGATTGTCTTTTTAATAGATAAATTAATGATAATCTATCATTCAATAATAATACAGCTCTTGCACATAATAAATAGGCCGTAAAAAATAGTGCGTGTTGCTGTTCTTATTTATTATCTATCATTCGCTATGCAATTCAAACGTTTAACAGCGAAATATGTGGAAATAGTTTAAATGTTTATACAGTGATAACTCTTGATATGAGTGTTGACGCTTATAATTAGACTAGCTGCAAATAAGCACGTCAGCAAATTCGGATATTTATATTTCCTTCAGAAGACGACGAAATTCAACTGCTTGTCAGAGGTTAGCTATATAGACGGAGAATTGACATTGTAAAAGATATTACCCGATACAATGTTGAAAGTTATTTTAAATGAAGATGCCAATAATGTTTTGTTTATTAAATGAAATACTATTGTTGAAAAAAGAAAAATGTGTGGAGCGAATTTAGTAAAATTTGAATTTAAGTTAACTCAATTGTCTATAACGTAAAAGCTGCATATATAATCAGATGTTTTATTTCAATTTTCAGTGGCACGTCCTCAATTAATCTATCGTGAGTAATATCTCGTGATTTTATTTCATCTTTCATTTGATAATTCCTATGTGTATATCAAATAGCTAAATAAAAATAAAAATTATGTGACAAGGATTGGATTTAAATTAAGTTTGAATGTAATGTTACGTAAAATTCGATATTAATGATTCAAGTAACAAAATTTATAGTATATATGGAGTCGGTATATATCATTAAAATATACAAAATGCAAACTAATATTATTTAGAATATTATGTTAACAAAATATCAGGCGAAAAAATCGAATAATTTTATCTAATAAAATGATCCAAATTCTGAGGGACATTAGCCATTTATTCCTATCAGTAATATCTTGCTCATCATATATCACCCATGATGTAAAATTCGAATCATAATGTGAAATGATTTACGAAAATTGTAAAATCCTTAAATGGTTAGTAAAGTTTTCCCTCATTAGGTTCGCCGGTAATTCTACTGAATATTTGAAATTAATCTTAACTTGGCTTGGTTACATGTTTATATATTTCTCTTGTGCAAATTAATATACTTTAGAATATTTACTAACAAATTAAGAGGCAAGAATATCGAATATTTTTAATCAAAAAGAGTGATCCAAATTCTGAGAGATATAAGGCATTTATTGCTATTAGTTAATATCTTGCTCAGGATATATAACCCATAATGTCATAATTCGCTTGATAATGGGAAATAATGAAAGAGAAATATAAAATTCCTTTAGTAAAGATGTTCTCTCATTGGATTCTCCAGTATTTCAACTGAATTTTTGATATTACTCGAATTTCGCTTGGTTATATGTTTATATATTTCTCTTGCTATTTTGTAATTCCTGGAAATTCTCATTCGAGGATCGAAATTAAGAAAACTACAACTGATATTTCGATAAAATTAAGTATATTTTTATTTTCTCAAAGAATACGTGAAATATTTAGAGGTTATTTTCGCTCATTTTTCTTTCTTTTCTGTAGGTTGCACGCGTACTGTCGCTGATGTTGTGTTTGTGCTTGATAATTCTGGAAGTGTTGGAAAGGGAAATTTCCGTAAGGTTAAGAATTTCCTGATGAATATCATTCACTATTGGAAAATAGGCCGGAATAAAGTGCGTGTTGCTGTTGTTTCATTCAGTAATTATGCATACGTTAACTTCCATCTTAATCGTTACAGAAACAAATATCAATTGAAACGCGCAATTAGAAAGCTCAAATATCGAAGTGGAGGTACAAATACCCATTACGCACTTAAACTCCTCCACAAAGTGTTTCGAAGAACAAACGGAGATCGAAAATATGCGCCGAATATCGCCATTGTTGTCACAGACGGAAATCATCTAATTCAAGGTTAACTAAAAGGCGGCTCGCAGTCTTAAAAGAAGAGGGGTCCGCATGTTCAGTGTTGCTATTGGACATAAAGTTCGTCGTTCAGAACTGAGAGCTATCGCAAGTTACCCGAAATATAAGCATATGTTTACTGTTGGCAATTTCAATGCTTTGAAAACGATTACAAGGGGAATTACGAAGAATATTTGTCAAGGTATGTATGTTAATTATTTTCACTTTGAAATTCGAACATTTTCTAACAGCTTCTTATTTAAATTATATTTGCGGCGAACGAATTATTCAAATGAAATCATAGGAAATATCATAAACAGTATTAGAAAATAATACATCTGAGAATTTGAGATACAGAATAAATCAGGAGAGTCTTTTCACTCTGCCCCAGGATAATCACGAAAGTAGCAGTGTATGATGAATGTCATTTGAAATATTGTCTTTCCCGAATTAATATAATTCAATATATTTTATTTATATTCGAATTTATTACGGTTGCCTTCAATATAATGTGCTATTTATTATCTGTCATTTGCTATGTAATTCAAACGTTTGACAGCGAAATATGTGAAAATAATTTAAACGTCTTTACAGTGATGAATATTGATATGAGAGTTGCCGCTTATAATTAGAGTAGTTGCAAATAAGCACGTCAACAATTTGATATTTATATTTCGTTCACAAGATCACTGAATATATCTGCAGCGAATTTTGTAAAACTTGAATTTAAGTTTAATTCAATTATTGATAAAGTAAAAAACTGCATATATCTAATCAGATGTTTTATTTCAATTTTCAGTGGCACGTCCTCAATTAATCTATCGTGAGTAATATCTCGTGATTTTATTTCATCTTTCATTTGATAATTCCTATGTGTATATCAAATAGCTAAATAAAAATAAAAATTATCTGACAAGGATTGGATTTAAATTAAGTTTGGATGTAATATTACGTAAAATTCGAAATTAATGATTCAAGTAGCAAAATGTATAGTATATATGGAGAGGGTATATATCATTGAAATATACAAAATTCAAACTAATATATTTTAGAATATTATACTAACAAACTATCAGGCGAAAAAAATCGAATAATTTAATCTAATAAAATGAACCGAATTCTGACGGATATTAGCCATTTATTCCTATCAATAATATCTTGCTCATCATATATCACCCATGATGTCATAATTCGAATCATAATGTGAAATGATTAAAGAAAATTGTAAAATTGCTGAAAAGGAAGTAAATATTTACCTCATTATATTATCCAGTATTTCAACCGAATATTTGATATTACTCTTAATTTCGCTCGGTTATATGTTTATATATTTCTCTTGTAATTTTTAATTCATCGAAATATTCTTTCGAGGAACAAAATTAAGAAAACTTCAACTGGCACTTAGAGAAAATTAAATATTTTTTTCATATTTTCTCAAAGATTACGTGAAATATTTAAAAATTATTTCGCTCTTGTTTACTTTTTTTGTAGGTTGTAAGCATGCTGTCGCTGATGTTGTGTTTGTGCTTGATAATTCTGGAAGTGTTGGAAAGGGAAATTTCCGTAAGGTTAAGAAATTCCTGATAAATATCATTCGCTCTTGGAAAATAGGCCGTAAAAAGTGCGTGTTGCTGTTGTTTCATTCAGTAATCGTGCATACGTTAACTTCCATCTTAATCATTATAGAAACAAATATCAATTGGAAAGCGCAATTAAAAAGCTCAAGTATCTAAGAGGAGGTACAAATACCCATTACGCACTTAAACTCCTCCACAAAGTGTTTCGAAGAACAAACGGAGATCGAAAATATGCGCCGAATGTCGCCATTGTTGTCACAGACGGGAAATCATCTAATTCAAAGTTAACTAAAATGACGGCTCACAGTCTTAAAATAAGAGGTGTCCGGATGTTCACTGTTGCTGTTGGACATAAAGTTCGTCGTTCAGAACTGAGATCTATGGCAAGTTACCCGAAATATAAGCATATGTTTACTGTTGGCTATTTCAGTACTTTGAAAATGATTACAAGGGGAATTACGAGGAATATTTGTCAAGGTATGTGTACGCTTATTATTTTTCACTTTGAAATTCGAAAATTCTCTAACAGACTATTATTTGAATTATGTTTTCGGCGAACGAATTATTCAAATGAAATCTTAGGAAATCTCATCAGCATTATTAGAAAAATAACATCTGAGATTTCGAGTTATAGAAAAAATCAGGGAGTATCTTCATTCTGCCCCAGGATGATCACGAAAGTAGCAGTTTATGATGAATTTCCCTTGAAATATTGTCTTTCCCGAATTAATATAATTCAATATATGTTATTTATAATTGAAGTTATTACGGTTGCCTTGAATATAATTTGCTATTTATTATCTATCATTCACTATGCAATTCAAACGTTTGACAGCGAAATAATTTGAAAGAGCTTAAATGATTATACAATGATGAATGTTGACATGAGTGTTGCCTTTTATAGTCAGGCTAGGTGCAAATAAGTACGTCAGCAAATTCGGATATTTATATTTCTTTCAAAAGATGACTGAATTCAACTGCTTGTCAAAGGCTAGCCATAGAGACGGCGAGATGACATTGTAAAAAATATGACCCGATCCAATATTGAACGTTATTTTAGATGACTATGCCAATAATGTTTCGTTACTTAAATAAAATGCTATCGTTGGAAGAGAAAATATATGTGCAGCGTATTTTGTAAATTTTGAATTTAAGTTTAATTCAATTATCGATAAAGTAAAAAACTACATATATCTAATCAGATGTTTTATTTCAATTTTCAGCGGCACGTCCTCAATTAATCTATCGTGAGTAATATCTCGTGATTTTATTTCATCTTAGATTTGATAATTCCTATGTGCTTATCAAATAGCTAAATAAAAAATAAAAGTTATGTGACAAGGATTCGATTTAAATTAAGTTGAAAGTTTTGTTACGTAAATTTAATTCACATAAAACATGTATATTATACATGGGGCTGGTATATATATTATTGAAATATACAAAGTGAATATTAATATACTTTAGAATATTATTCTAACAAACTATCAGGCGGGAAAATCGAATATTTTAATCTAATAAACTTGTCCAATTTCTGTAGAACATAAGCCATTTATTCCTATTAGTTAACATCTTGCTCACCATATGTCACCCATGATATCATAATTCCTATGATAATATGAAATAATGAACGAGAAATGTCAATTCCTTTTAGTATAGATGTTCCCTCATTAGATTCACTAAGGTTTCAGTGGAATATTTGACATTACCATCAATTTTGCTTCGTTACATCATTATATATTTCTTTTGTAATTTTGTAATTCATCGAAATATTCTTTCAAGGATTGAAATTAAGAAAACTTCAACTGGTATTTTGAAAAATGAAATATTCTTTTCATATTTTCTCACAGATTACATTTAAAGATTATTTTCGCTATTCTTTCATTTTTTGTAGGTTGTAAGTATGCTGTCGCTGATGTTGCGTTTGTGCTTGATAATTCTGGAAGTGTTGGAAAGGGAAATTTCCGTAGGGTTAAGAAATTCCTGATAAATATCATTCGCTCTTGGAAAATAGGCCGTAAAAAAAGTGCGTGTTGCTGTTGTTTCATTCAGTAATCGTGCATACGTTAACTTCCATCTTAATCATTATAGAAACAAATATCAATTGAAAGCGCAATTAAAAAGCTCAAGTATCTAAGAGGAGGTACAAATACCCATTACGCACTTAAACTCCTCCACAAAGTGTTTCGAAGAACAAACGGAGATCGAAAATATGCGCCGAATGTCGCCATTGTTGTCACAGACGGAAATCATCTAATTCAAAGTTAACTAAAATGACGGCTCACAGTCTTAAAATAAGAGGTGTCCGGATGTTCACTGTTGCTGTTGGACATAAAGTTCGTCGTTCAGAACTGAGATCTATGGCAAGTTACCCGAAATATAAGCATATGTTTACTGTTGGCTATTTCAGTACTTTGAAAATGATTACAAGGGGAATTACGAGGAATATTTGTCAAGGTATGTGTACGCTTATTATTTTTCACTTTGAAATTGAAAATTCTCTAACAGACTATTATTTGAATTATGTTTTCGGCGAACGAATTATTCAAATGAAATCTTAGGAAATATCATCAGCATTATTAGAAAAATAACATCTGAGATTTCAAGTTATAGAAAAATCAGGGAGTATCTTCATTCTGCCCCAGGATGATCACGAAAGTAGCAATTTTTGATGAATTTCACTTGAAATATTGTCTTTCCCGAATTAATATAATTCAATATATGTTATTTATAATTGAAGTTATTACGGTTGCCTTGAATATAATTTGCTATTTATTATCTATATATAGTCCGATTATCTATCATTCAATAATAATACAGCTCATCTCATTATCTCTTTTAATACAGATAATATTAATAGTGAAATCGATTATCTAAAATTCAATAATAATAATACAGTAGTGATTATCTTTTTAATACAGAAATATTAATAGAGTGGTCCGATTGAATATCATTCAATAATAATACAGTAGTCTGATTATCTCTTTTTAATACAGATAATATTAATTAATTAGTCCGATTATCTATCATTCAATAATAATACAGTAGTCGATTATCTTTTTTAATACAGATAATATTAATAGAGTAGTCCGATTATCTATCATTCAATAATAATACAGTAGTCTCATTATCTCTTTTAATACAGATAATATTAATAGAGTTATTGTCCGTTATCTATCATTCAATAATAATAATTCAGTAGTCCGATTATTCTCTTTTAATTCAGATAATTTTAATAGATAGTAGTCCGATTATCTATCATTCAATAATAATATCTTTCGATTATCTCTTTTAATACAGATAATATTTTTAATTCATTCAATATTATTTTAGTCTCATTGTCTCATTTCAATAATTAATAGAAAAGTCCGATTATCTATCATTCAATAATAATACAATAGTCCGATTATCTCTTTTTAATACAGATAATATTAATAAGTAGTCCGATTATCTATCATTCAATAATAATACAGTAGTCTCATGATCTCTTTTAATGCAGATAATATTAATAAGTAGTCCGATTATCTATCATTCAATAATAATACAGTAGTCTCATTATCTCTTTTAATACAGATAATATTAATAGGAAGTAGTCGATTATCTATCATTCAATAATAATACAGTAGTCCGATTATCTCTTTTAATCGATAATATTAATAAATAGTCGATTATCTATCATTCAATAATAATACAGTAGTCTCATTATCTTTAATACAGATAATATTAATAAAGTAGTCGATTATCTATCATTCAATAATAATACGTAGTCCGATTATCTCTTTTAATACAGATAATTTTAATGTTACAGTCGATTATCTATCATTCAATAATAACTAACAGTAGTCTCATTATCTCTTTATTACAGATAATAATATTAATGTTGTAGTCGATTATCTATCATTCAATAATAATAGTAGTCTAAGTCTCTTTTTAATATTATCTATTTTAATACTCGTTATCTATCATTCAATAACTTAGTAGTCCGATTATCTTCTTTTAATAATAAATAGTAGTCCGATTATTATCATTCAATATTTTTAATGTCTCATTATCTCTTTTATAATATTAAGTTTAAGTCCGATTATCTATCATTCAATAATAATATACAGTTGTCTCATTATCTCTTTTAATACAGATAATATTATAGTAGTCCGATTATCTATCATTCAATAATAATACAGTAGTCCGATTATCTCTTTTTATTACATAATATTAATTGAACAGTCCGATTATCTATCATTCAATAATAATACAGTAGTCTCATTATCTCTTTTAATACAGATAATATTAATAAGTAATCATTATCTATCGTTTCAATAATAATACAGTAGTCGATTATCTCTTTTAATACAGATAATATTAATAAAGAAGTCCGATTATCTATCATTCAATAATAATACAGTAGTCGATTATCTCTTTTAATACACATAATATTAATTAGTAGTCATTATTATCTATCATTCAATAATAATACAGTAGTATGAATTAACGATTTTTATATTACAGATGTTCATTATCTCTTTTAGTCTAGTATGTATTATCTATCATTCAATAATAATACAGTAGTCCGATTATCTCTTTTAATTTAGATAATATTAATAGAGTAGTCCGATTATCTATCATTCAATAATAATACGTTATGTCTCTTTTCTTTTAATAAGATTTTAATTGTCCAGATTATCTATCATTCAATAATATTGCAGTAGTTCGATTTCTCTTTTATTCAATAATATTAATAGGTAGTCCGATTATCTATCATTCAATAATACAGATAATTATCTCTCTTTATTACAGATAATATTAATAGAGTAGTCCGATTATCTATCATTCAATAATAATACAGTGGTCCGATTGTCTCTTTTAATGCACATAATATTTAATGAAGTGGTCGATTATCTATCATTCAATAATAATAGAGTAGTCCGATTATCTCTTTTAATACCTGTATTAATAGAAATTGGTCGATTATCTATCATTCAATAATAATACAATTGTCCGATTATCTCTTTTAATACAGATAATAATAGAGTAGTCGATTATTTATCATTCAATAATAATACAATAGTCGGTATCTCTTTAATACAGATAATATTAATGAGTAAGTCCGATTATCTATCATTCAATAATAATACAGTAGTCTGATTATCTCTTTTTAATACAGATAATATTAATAGAGTAGATCCGATTATCTATCATTCAATAATAATACAGTAGTCCGATTATCTCTTTTATACAGATAATATTAATAGAGTGAATCCGATTATCTATCATTCAATAATAATACAGTAGTCTCATTATCTCTTTTAATACAGATAATATTAATAAGAGTAGTCGATAATCATCATTCAATAATAATGCAGTCCGATATTCAATAATAATAGTCCGATTATCTATCATTCAATAATAATTATCGATTCTTTTAATAAAGATAATATTAATAGAGTAGTCCGATTATCTATCATTCAATAATAATACAGTAGTCTATTATCTCTTTTAATACAGATAATATTAATAGAGTAGTCGATTATCTATCATTCAATAATAATACAGTTGTCCGATTATCTCTTTTAATACAGATAATATATTAATAGAGTGGTCGATTATCTATCATTCAATAATAATACAGTAGTCTCATTATCTCTTTTAATACAGATATTAATAGAGTAGTCCGATTATCTATCATTCAATAATAATACAGTAGTCTCATTATCTCTTTTAATATTAAGATAATATCTTCATTCAATAATAATACAGTTCGATTATCTTTTATCATTCAATAATAATACAATATCTATCATTCAATAATAATATTGATCGATTATCTCTTTTAATACAGATAATATTAATAGAGTAGTCCGATTATCTATCATTCAATAATAATACAGTGGTCCGATTATCTCTTTTTAATACAGATAATATTAATAGTCGATTATCTATCATTCAATAATAGTACAGTAGTCTCATTATCTTTTTATTCAGATAATATTAATACAGTAGTCCGATTATTATCATTCAATAATAATACAGCAGTCTCATTACTTTAATACAGATAATATTAATAGTGTAGTCCGATTATCTATCATTCAATAATACAGTAGTCCGATTATCTCTTTTCTAAAATAATATTCTGAGTAGTCGATAATCATTCAATAATATTAGTAGTCCGATTATCTAGTCCGATTATCTATCATTCAATAATAATACAGTAGTCCGATTATCTCTTTTAATACAGATAATATTATTAGAGTAGTCCGATTATCTATCATTCAATAATAATACAGTGGTCCGATTATCTCTTTTAATACAGATAATATTAATAGAGTAGTCCGATTATCTATCATTCAATAATAATACAGTAGTCCGATTATCTCTTTTAATACAGATAATATTAATAAGTAGTCCGATTATATCATTCAATAATAATACAGGAGTCCGATTATCTCTTTTAATACAGATAATATTAATAGAGTAGTCCGATTATCTATCATTCAATAATACAGTGGTCCGATTATCTCTTTTAATACACGATAATATTTATCGATTATCTATCATTCAATAATAATTTAGTCGATTATCTCTTTTAACAATAATATTAATAGAGTCCGATTATCTATCATTCAATAATAATACAGTAGTCCATTATCTCTTTTAATACAGATAATATTAATACAGCAGTCCGATTATCTATCATTCAATAATAATAATATTATCTCTTTTAATAGTCCGATAATTATCTATCTCAATAAATTTTTATTTTAATACAGATAATATTAATAGAGTAGTCCGATTATCTATCATTCAATAATAATATAGTAGTCTCATTATCTCTTTTTAATACAGATAATATTAATAGAGTAGTCGATTATCTATCATTCAATAATAATACAGTAGTCCGATACCCTTTGTCTCTTTTATCGTCAGATATTATCATTTAGTCCGATTATCTATCATTCAATAATAATAATAGAGCAGTCCGATTATCTCTTTTAATATTACAGATAATATTAATAGAGCAGTCCGATTATCTATCATTTCAATAATTTAGTCCGATAATCTCTTTTAATACAGATAATATTCAACAAATAGTCCGATTATCTATCATTCAATAATAATACAGTAGTCTCATTATCTCTTTAATACAGATAATAATAATGAGTAGTCCGATTATCTATCATTCAATAATAATCTCTTTTTACAGTAGTCTGATTATCTATCTTTTAATACAGATAATATTAATGAAATAGAGTAGTCCGATTATCTATCATTCAATAATAATACAGTAGTCGATTATCTCTTTTAATACAGATAATATTAATAGAGTAGTCCGATTATCTATCATTCAATAATAATACAGTATTATCTCTTTTATCTCTTTTAATACAGATAATATTAATAGGAAGATAGTCCGATTATCTATCATTCAATAATAATACAGTAGTCTGATTATCTCTTTTAATACAGATAATATTAATAGAGTAGTCCGATTATCTATCATTCAATAATAATACATTAGTCTCATTATCTCTTTTAATACAGATAATATTAATAGAGTAGATTAGTCCGATTATCTATCAATTATCTATCATTCAATAATAATACAGTAGTCCGTAGTCTCATTATCTCTTTTAATACAGATAATATTAATAGAGTGGTCCGATTATCTATCATTCAATAATAAGATAATATTAAGTGAGTCCGATTATCTCATTTTAATACAGATAATATTAATAGATAATCCGATTAGTAGTCCGATTATCTATCATTCAATAATAATACAGTAGTAGTCTCATTATCTCTTTTAATACCAGATAATATTAATAGAGTAGTCCGATTATCTATCATTCAATAATAATACAGTAGTCTCATTATCTCTTTTAATACAGATAATATAATAGAGTAGTCCGATTATCTATCATTCAATAATAATACAGTAGTCTCATTGTCTCTTTTAATACACATAATATTAATACAAGTAGTCCATTATCTATCATTCAATAATAATATAGTACAGTAGTCTCATTATCTCTTTTAATACAGATAATATTAATAGAGAAGTCCGATTATCTATCATTCAATAATAATACAGTAGTCTCATTATCTCTTTTAATACAGATAATATTTAATATAAAGTAGTCGATTATCTATCATTCAATAATAATACATATAGTCTCATTATCTCATTATTTTTAATACAGATAATATTAATAGAGTAATCGATTATCTATCATTCAATAATAATACCCAGTTACTATCGTCTTTAATACAGATTATCTCTTCCGAATACAGATAATATTAATACAGTAGTCTCATTATCTCTTTAATACAGATAATATTAATAGAAACCATTATCCAATTATCTATCCGATTATTCAATAATAATATTAAAAGTAGTCGATTATCATTATCTCTTTAATACAGAATAATATTAATAGAGTAGTCCGATTATCTATCATTCAATAATAATACAGTTGTCTAGTACAGATAATATTAATAGAGTAGTCATTATCTCTTTTAGTCCGATTATCTCATTTTAATACAGATAATATTAATAGAGTAGTCCGATTATCTATCATTCAATAATAATACAGTAGTCCGATTATCTCTTTTAATACAGATAATATTAATAAATAGTCGATTATCTATCATTCAATAATAATACAGTAGTCGATTATCTCTTTTAATACAGATAATATTAATAGAGTAGTCCGATTATCTATCATTCAATAATAATACAGTAGTCCGATTATCTCTTTTAATACAGATAATATTAATAGAGTAGTCCGATTATCTATCATTCAATAATAATACAGTAGTCCGATTATCTTTTAATACAGATAATATTAATAGAGTAGTCCGATTATCTATCATTCAATAATAATACAGTAGTCCGATTATCTCTTTAATACAGATAATATTAAGAGTAGTCCGATTATCTATCATTCAATAATAATACAGTAGTCCGATTATCTCTTTAATAC